TTAAATTTCCTGTCTTAGTCAAATGTACCTATCATTTTTTTAAAACCCAGTTAAAATATTTAACGTGGAAAGACTGTCTGTACAATATATTAATTTTTTGATCAAATAAATCTGAAGGGAACCTTTCAATATGAAGCAAATTTTAAAAGAACATATTTTGCAATTTCAGAAACCTTGTTATGATTCATTTGGTGGATTATTCCTTAAGTCGTTTCATCTTCCTTGTATTATGGTTAGGAATTGACTAATCCTGACCTCAAGTTACACCGTTTACTACTTTTATAGCCTTAAACCCTTAACCCTCTAAGCTCAATTTATTCTAAAGTAAGGATATTTTATAGTTTATTCCATAAGGCCCTTAATAAAGTATATGTTTGTGAATGGGTACACATATATGTTACAATACATAATGTCATTTATGTATTGTAATACATTTGTTATTTGTAATATTTGATATTGGTGAGTACTTAGTGAGCAAGCATTTTAAAAGTTTTCTTATTGTGAAGTTAACATAATTTTCTATTTGTGAAGACTACAATAGGATTTACTATAATCAAAAGGTTTTTAAATGTAAAAAGCCTATATTTTAAAGGTGTATTTTTATTGTTTTAATTATATGTATTTGTGTATGTCTTGTGCCGATATGTGCACAAGTATGAAGGTGCTTTTGGAACCAGAGGCCTTAAATGCCATGGGGCTTGAGTAATGGGCAGTTGTGAGCAACTTGACATGGATACTAATGGATACTAGGACACCAAACTGGGTTGCCTGCAAGAGCGGTACATGCTCCTCACCACTGAGCAATCTTTCCAGCCCCGGAAGCGTTATATGTTAATAAGTCAAATGTAAAAGCAAAGAGAGAGTGACCAGGCACTGGTGGCGCACACCTTTAATCCCATCATTTAGGAAGGCGAGGCAGGTGGGTCTTTATGAGTTCGAGGCCACCTGGTCTACAGAGCGAGTTCCAGGACAACCAGGGCTACGAAGAGAAAGCCTGTCTCAAAACACCCTCTCCCCCAAAAGGTAAACGGAGAACTTTGAAATTACAGACCATGAGCATAGGAAAGGTCAGATAAACACCAGAAGGATATTATGAGTTCAAGTACAAAACCTTTGGTATTTTTAAATTTCATAAAAGAAGTATCATTTTGTTAAAATAGTTGAAGGTATATAGCAAATAATGGGAAAGGCTTGATTATATCTTAATGCATAATAATTGAGCAGCTGTCAATAGTTAAAGGCCTTGTCTGTGTTAAATCAGCCTTTAGAGAAAAACCTGACTCATACCAATATGGCGGCCTCTGCAAATCTTCGCCTGAACCTCTCTCAAAAGAGCATATCCCGTCTTACCTCACAAACACCAGACATGCACACAGGGTACTTACCTACTTGTAGGCAAAATATTCATTCACATAAATAATGATAAATATTTTAATACCAGAAATTGTATTCACATATGTATTTTCAAAGAGGAAAAAAGAAGTTTTGCAATAAACTATAAAAATTCATCTTAATGTGTATTAACTATGGCCATTAATTCCTTGTAAATCATGTCAAAATATTAATCGTATCTCTTATAAATTCAAATTATACTGGTAAAATCATGTCATGATCCTGGTAAACGGGAAATAATTACACAGATGCTGTGATGTTGGACTTTGATTTTAAACACTTGTATATTAGCAATGTCTACGCAAGTACAGAGGAGTCCAATTCAAGCACTCAATAAGATTCATTCAAGGCAAATCTGTTCCCAGTGTTAGCCATGACCCTTTCACTGAGCAGAGCTATGGGCAGAGGCTGGTCTGGAAGTGACTCTGACACTTACTACATTAAAATCAAAAAAGAATTCTGCAACATCTTCCTTTAAAAGCCATTGTAGGCCAAGTAGTCAAGAAATGGGTGAACTTACCAACCTTCTACAGCATTGACACACAAGTAGGTGTATGTCATACTGAATTCCCTTCTAAGTGAATATGAATTTAAAGAAAGCTCAGGCATGAATTTGTGTCTATTCTCTTCGAAGAAAAGTAACATAGTTTTGTTCTTTTGTTAAGGAAAAAAAAGAATCCTTGTTATTGATATATCAATAAATATATGAAAGGTTGGGTCATTTCTCAATGTTTTCAGTTCACACAATATAATAATTGTCTAAAATGCACCAAATTTCTCCAGGTCCCAAATTCTACACACCACAAGATGTGCTATAATATACTTCTACTCTCTTACTAAAATAAGAATCAGTGATGCTTCATGAAGGCCTACCTACCACACTGTGGTTTGCAATGTGAATTTCCCTACCACAAATTCTAATCCTCTAGCGATTAAAGAAGTTTTGTATTTGCTTGACTGCTAGACTATGACAGTGGCTTTTCCTTCTTCGTCACCCACCCTACACATTATAGTTGAATAAAGAGATTACTTAATTTGGTTATGCAAAACTGCCTTCAGCCACACTTCACCCTATATCTCTCAGCTGCTTCCTGGATAGCTGCAGAAATGGGTGTTCTTAATATTTAAAGTTTGACCTTTTAGAGTATTTTACCATCTTAATATATTAATTCTGATCTCTGACATCTAAGTGCTCCCCCTTGGAAAAAAAAAAGCTTATGGCCTCTTGTATATGGCAATCCATCCACCTGGTTTCATGTACATCTCCTCAAAATACCTTTCAAGGAAAAATACTTTCTCTCTCTCTCTCTCTCTCTCTCTCTCTCTCTCTCTCTCTCTCTCACACACACACACACACACACACACCACTCCATACTTTAGTGCAAGGCGTGGGAAACCACTATAGGAGTTGTTAGAGCGTTCCTAAAGGCCCCCAAAACAATACTGGCTCTTACCATTCCTCTTGGATATCCACCAGAACTAGCTGGTAAGACACAACTGAAGAAGATACTACTCATCTTGGGAGAAGAAATAGGAAGATGAAGCTGAAACTGAAGCCTGTGAGCTACAGTAATGACCTACAGGCAAGCTGTAGTAACCAATCACTTTATGATTAGATTTTAGGAATGCTCCATAGGACAGAAGTGTACTTAAAACTAGACCTGGTAAACCTAGATCAGTGTCACTGACTGGGGAGGTCATATGCCATCAGAGGAAACCTACTAGTATTATTTTGCCAAGTAGACACATTGCCAAACTGGATTTTAAATATTACATAGATAGTGCTTCTCTCAGTATTGTTCAGAAAGGCCTCCTACCACATCAGGCAGGAGTTAAATCAGAGACTTGTAGGTGGTCAAAGGGAGAGAAATCAGTGCTGGTAAAGTGATGGGCTCTAAGTAGGGCATCTATGCACATTCTCTGGGGCCCAGAGAGCATAATGGAAAGGGGGAACGAAAGAATGTAAGAACCGAATGATGGAAAGATATATAGCAAAAAGATATTGTCTGGACAAGACATAGTCACCAATTAACTCACTGCGTCTGGAGTTACTACACAGACCTAAGTGAGTTTGGGCCTATTAACACTTCACTGAGGATGGGAAAGGACCCATGAGTCCCCACCACACCCTTAAAAACTATTGGCAATTATTAATGTCTGAGGAATTGATACCATTTTCTTCAGTTGGGTAACCACTGACAAATTCCCCATGCCTCTGATAAATTACTTGCAAGTATCCCTAAACTAAATGAGTCACACAAAAATTTTATACCAACCTATACCTGCTCCAAGTCATGGGACCTGGCCCTCAAGTGTGTCACTCCATTGAGGAAAATTGATCTTCACTTGATAGCAGCCGGTATAGATTGTAAATAGTTTTTTGGTTGGGGTGGGACTTTGAGTCCACCTCCTCTTCCCTCCATGTTCGAATTCTGACTTGTTGGAACTTGAGCATGTCTTGGTCATGCTGTTACAGTCTCTGTGAGGTTCTAGGCATTCTGTCTGGAATATGATACTTCCTCGGAGTCAGCCACCATATCTGGCTCTTACAGTCTTACCACTTCATTTGAATTGGTTTAGTACTCTTTGTCTTCATGGGTTTTGTCTGTTTTGATTTTCATCAATGGTTTTTGTTTGTCTGTTTTGATATTCATTTATTTTTGAAAGCAATAGAGAAAGAGTATTAAGGTGGGTGGGAAGAGAGGTAGGAACTAGGAGGAGTTGGTCAAAGGGAAAGAATATGATCAAAATGCTTTGCCTGAAAAAATAATTGTTAAAAATTTAATATAGGTGCCCATATGACAAAAAGAAAAAAAGACATAAAAGTAGAAAGAAGACATGTTAAGAAGATGAATTTAAGTGGGAGAGAGAGGATGGAAGCAGGTGATGGGGGTGAAGTCATTATATTCATGCATAAAACTATAAAATAGTTAAAAATGAAAAATGTGGTGATCTCAGCTTTTTTGGTTAGGTAGATGGATGGTTGGTCAGGAAAAATACCAAGTTCACTTTGACAAAGTTGTCTGTGAGATATCCATCAAGCATCAAAATGAATTATGCAGTTGGATAAAAAGAGCCCGTGTACCAAAAGTGCTCAGCTACACTGTGGTCTCAGAAATCAGAAGTGATTATATTATAATTATAAAATGCTGCTTACAGGTGGGTCTGGAAGCTAACTGCTGCAGTCAACACGATCTTCTCAGAACTCTAGTTATTGTACATTAAATAAATGGTTAGCCCTCTCAATTTCTTAGGTTCTTGGCCCCTACAATGGGAAAATTTAATAATCATTTTTTCTTTTGGAACTATTTCAGAGACTAAATGGTATAATAGATATGAAGCACCATGTCTATAGCTCCATAAGCCTCAAATCCACAAGAGACAAAATTTAAAGGAAAACCACAAAAGGAAATATTCTACAGTGATTTGTCATAGTTTCCATGAAACTGCCAATGTTATTTCTCAGTGTCTATGGATTTTGATAGCCGATGAATCAGTGGAGTATTAACTGATCCCAGGGAGTGGCTTTCCAGCCACTGGCCCTTCCACTCCATTGCACTGTGAGTGTATAAAAGAGATGCAACACTGAAGGCCAGTCACCACCACTTCTCACAGCAGCATCGCAGAGAAGAACAGAGTGGAGAGTTTAAGTGAGAAGATCTGAACTATCAAAGGTAAGCGATGACCATATGCCTCGTCTAGAAGATGGATGTTACATATGTGTGTTAATTTTTATATATTATAAACAACAATCAGAAGTGAGAATGTTGAAACTATCATGAACTTGGATTCATAAACATCAACTGGGTAACCATTTTGTGCATTCCTGTTTGTAAGAATTTCTTTGAAAATCACCATTGCTCTACAGGAAGGATCTATTGAAAGAGTGATCAAAAAGGAATCTTTGCAAGGATGGGGCACTGAAGCAAGAGAAGGGGAATAAGATCAGGTCCTTCCTTTTGAATTTTATGAACTAAGTCAGCAAAGATTTCAAGAATTCTGTGGGTGAAAAGAATTATCACTTTTGAGTTTTCCAGGTGTGATAGTAGTACAAGTCTTTAGTCCTACCTAGCACTTGGAAGGCAGAGGCAGGAGGATGGATCTGTGAGTTCGCATGTTGAACAGTCTTATGTCATGAATGAATAAGATGCATGTTCCTGCTCCATCAAATTCACTCAAAGATTAATAGGAAAAGAATTTAAATAAGTCTGATCTACTCAATGAGTTCCAGGACAGGAAGAGCTACATAGTGAGATCCTGTCTTGACCAAAAAAAAAAGTTAAAAGCCTCCTGTTTCATCTTTAAAATATCTTCAAATTTATGCCAATTCTGTAATATAACATGTTGGTTTTAACATACAATTACTTAAATTCTCTTTCCTATTAATCTTTGAGTGAAATTGATGGAGCAGGAATGTGCATCTGATACCTTCACAACATAAGACTTCTCAACATAGCAATATACTGCTACAGCTTGAGAAATAGGAAAAAAAGGTTGCAGGTAAATTATGGTGTGTATGGTGTATAAAGTCTGAAGGAGTCTGTAATGCAGTTTATTTCTCTATTCAATGAAAGTTTAAATAACCATTGAAAACAATCCCACTGTATAAAATGGTCAACAATTCTGTTCTCTTCAAAACTATTTCCCCATCCTGTTGCTTCTATATGCTCTCAACATTTTGTAAGTTCTGTGTAGGATGTGCCACGCATTACTTTACATTACAAAGACATAATTATCTATCTCTAACTAGCTTTTGCCTGAAAGAGCTCAGGTTTTATTGTTTCATCCTTGAGCATGCCTAGTGCCAAACTTATAAAAAGAAGGTAGAAGTGTATACGTGTACATGAGAGACAGGGTGATGTTATATCATTGGTTTCTATACTGAGAGTCTGCTAATAGAATGCTAAACCACTAGATGGTGGTGGCATATGCCTTTATTCCCAGCACAGAGGCAGGCAGATCCCCGTGAGTTCAATACCACCTGGGTCTACAGAGTGGGTTCTAGGACAATCAGGGCTACACAGAAACACTGTCTCAAAATAAAAATGTTTTTAATTAAAAATATAAGGAACCCTAACCTTAACAAGATAACTCACCAATCATCTTCTGCTCATCTCTTGGTACTTTGTAGTTTCTTAGATTTTTATTGATATAATAAGAAAAAAGACAGAGTTCAAAACATGATCACATTTTTCTTATATTTTAGTCTTCTCTTTCAAAGGTACATAGGAAAGTTCAGTAGGTTAAATTTCCGTAGAATATCCATGATCTCACCATCACCCAAAATGAATGCCAATGACATGGGAAATCAGTATTTTCTCAGGGTAAAACACTAAATATTCTACAGAAAACTGTAAAATATATTAACCAGTAGTAGTTTGCTCAGTAAGGTCTATACGATAGCATTCATAAATATATGAACAGTTATTTTTGAATAACTGATATAAAAAAGTCACAAACCACAAATCACCTCTGTGTTTGTCCTTTGAAGGTTACTCTCTAATAAACCAACAATCTAACTGCAAATGGCTGGCTAGCTTCAGGGAGCTCTTAGTTACATCCTTTGTACCAGAACCGTATCTTCTGGATTGCTGTTAATATTCTGTCTTTCTCTGATGTCTAGGATATTCTGGGCAAGATGAAAGCCCTCCTTGTGTTCTCTGTCATTCTGGCAGTAGCAGCTTGTCTCCCAGTGAGTACTGGTCAAACCTTTATAGAACGTTTATGAACACTTGTTATGATTCCTGATTTTCCATGATGTTACTAGTCTCTCTACACACTTTAGTTTATAAAGATACTGAAAGCCTGATCTGCAGCATTGGATTTAAGAAAATGTCATATGCCCTTCAGTGTACAATTTTATTCCATGTTGTTTTTGTGCAGTAAATATAGATATTAAAAAACATGTACTAAGATATGGGAGTATCACTCAGTGGTATAACACTTACCTGGTAGTTGTCTTAGTATAGTTTCTATTGCTGTGATAAACACCAAGACCAAAAGCAACCTAGGGAGGTTGGGGTTCATTGCAGCTTAAAGCTCTCAGGTCATAATCTACCACTAAGGAAGGCCAGAGCAGGAGGCTAGAACTGAAGCTGAGGCCAGGAAGAGGTGCTGCTTACTGATTGGCTCCTCATGACTTACATCGTGCTTTCTCATCCACCTAGTATCGCCATGGAGAGTACTGCACATGGTGGTCTGGGCCCTTCCGTCAATGATTAAACAAGAGAATGCTCTATAGACTTGCCCAACCAAAATGTCTGATGGAAACATGTTCTCAATTGAGGTGCCTCTTCCTAGATAACCTCACTTTGTGTAATAATGGGAAGAGGAGCTTCAATTGAGAAAATGTGTCATGCTGACAAAAATCAACCTAGACACCAGCTATGAGAAGCCCAATAGTTGATGGTAGATCTTCAGTGCCACAAAAACAGAAGGCAATAATGAGGCATGGGAACGTTTTTTTCAGAACATTGTTTCTACATCATCCAGATAACCAATAACCATCATCCAGATATATTTTAATGGGTAGCACAAAACAGAATCAGACGGTAGTTGAATTATTACATATATATGTATATATTTCTCATGTTTTCATCAGCACAAGTTAAATTGATTTCACTGTTTAACCTTTAGGTGTCCCAGGACCAGGCACGAGAGAAACGAAGTGTAAGTAGCTTTCCCTTTCCATGTCGGGTTTCTGTGTGAGACAGTTGCAATGGTGATTAAACACGTTTAGTTATCCAAACCTCTCAGCCTCTGAGAAATTCTTAAAATCTCCAGGGTATTAGCATTAGACAGAGGTATAGACTTTGATTTTTGAAGGGATACCTGAATACAGTATAAAATAATTGATTAATATCCGCCTATAGAGAGAAATAGCTTTTCAACTCATGAAGGATGATGTGCAAATCCAGTTGGGAAACACTCTGTGGTAAAGAGGCACACAGCCTAGTTATCTAAAACTTCCCACAAGGCTCCACCTCTTAAAGGCAACACCTTCCAATAGCATCAAGATAAAGACCAAGTCTTTAACAGATAATCCTTCTAGGAACATTTGGTGTTCCATTCCAGGTAGTAGTAGGTCAGCCATGATGACCAAATTAGGAAAAAAAAATCAATGAAACATTATTTTGCTATGAACAGACAAGCGAAAACATTCAAGAAAATTAAAAAAAATTTACAGAACAATATATGTGTGTATGTATATTTATATAACATATATGTGTGTGCTTGTGTGTTTATATATATATACATATATATGTATATATAGAGAGAGAGTGGGTTGTGGAAATCTTGTTAACTAAAAAACACGACTCAACAGAAAGCTAAAAATTAAGAATTTGCTTTAATTTGCATGAGTTAAGGATTGATCTGGGAATGAAGAAATGACAGATATACAGACAGAGAAGCTAGGATGGAGTAGGCCATGTGCACCAATGGATACACACCAGCATCAACCTAGAAGCTCAGCACACTTGATGTAAATACATCAAGAACAAGGAGGACATGGGTTAGCTATTGTCAGCAGGAGGTCTCTGGATGGGAGCAGTCTTAGGTTATAGCCATTCAGGAGGAGGAAGCTCCATTTGATACTTGCTGCACACACTGGTTTCAGCTAACCATATACATTTCATAGGTGGGCTATGGGAAGGTGTAGCAAATCTTCTGAGCATAACCCTGATTTGCCATTCCCATGGATCTGAGCTAATGGGGTCCTTGGCTTAGGTCAATAATATAGGATTTCATCTGCTCACCACAGAAGCTGATAGGATGAAGGGAAGAGACAAAGAGAGATGATTTCCAACATGTAATTTGATGAATGATGATTTGAATCAAAGAGGTGTGTGTGTGTGTCTGTCTGTATGTGTGTGTGTGTGTGTGTGTGTACCTTTATCTCCCCTCATTGCCTTATAACTATAGAAAACTTTACTTTGAATTCTAAGATTTGGAAATACAGTTATCTCTAATTTTCTAAGATGAGATAATCAAGTCAATGATAATTCTGCAAATAAAAAGTGTAAGTAAATTAGACCTTTTAAGTTTTCTCCTTCATACAGAAAGACCCCCTTGGAAAAGAGCTGCATCAAGCAAGGCCTTTCTTTTTTCCCAACAGGACAACGACAGTGATGAAGACTTCCCAAGAATATATTTTCCCCCAAACCGGTATCCACCTGGTGCATACCCACAATATGAATATCAAGTCTATCCATGGTTTTATCCCCCTTATCCCTTCCCCTTCCCCTTCCCTCCTTTTGCAACTCCACCTCCTATTGTGAAGTAAATGAGAGAGAAGTCACAGTGTGAGTGAAGATGAAGTGAGTGGTGAGTATAACACAATCACCTTGGTTGTTCGGGTGCATACCTGTGCATGTGACTGTGTCGCTCAGCAAAAACAGATGTTACGCTGTCCCTAGACACTGGGATCCCATATGTTTCAACATTTTTCCCTGGTAGAAATCAGTGGTAACAGCAGTGGCGATACATCCTATGTCCCCTTAAGATTCAAAATTACAGCAGTTTATAAAGTCATTCAAGGTGATACAACGAAAGCAAGCCTATTATCATATTTTTGTTTGGACATTTTCTATTAATACAAATGATTTTTCACTTTGGACTGAATCAAAGGCCTAGGTAAAGCAAAATTTTAATATAAAGCTTAGACTGGGTGAACTTATGAATCTCACCCTAAAGGAAGGTTCATCCTAGTTCTTAGAAAAATAACAAACTTTTTAATGCTAAAAACCCAAAACAATGCTGCAAATATAACAGTTAAAAAAAAAACCTACAGCCTTGCACTTCAAACAGGTATACTGTCATCTCAAGATACCAGAATTAAAATGGTGAGTCTGTAAGTCTTGAATGGATTGGAAAGGTATGCGCTATATTGAAGACTAAATACAGACCCATAAGATTATTTTAGTTTCTCAGTATAATACATGTACACATATATAACAATGTATATATTTAACACATGTGTACACACACATACGGAAAGGCGCTGACATCTTCCTACTCAGCATTCACGGACTGAATGCTTTCCAACTTTTGAACTATATACACTTTTCTGACAACAGATATGTTGAAAATGCAATATATGTGTATATGTAAATATATTTTAAAAGCTCCCCTGAGAATAACACGTTTGGATTAATAACTATATATCTACTATTTATTTCAGGCTACTTTGAAATTGAATGCAAGCCACTTCTTTGATGGATCAATGTTCCTGTTAAAAGAGAAAAATAAATGCAATTGAAATAGCATATGATGTTGTCTCTTTAGAATTCTTTTAACCAAGTATGAAAAGGAGGATCCTATGTATTTAACACTTTTACATGACTTCTTTTTTAATTTTTCACTTACTTTATTACATTAATAAAGTGTAACATTTCATTAATTTTTGCAAACTTTATACATGCATACAATATATTTTGATCATGTTCATCCTCCCCCCTACTCCTCCTCACTTCTCCCATATCCATCTCCCAACTTTATATCCTCTTCAGTTTTTTAATAACCCACCCAAGTTCAGTTTGTGTTATTCATAAACTCATGGGTATATAGCCATGCACTGGAGCCACACCCTTAAAGAACAGTGACTCTCCTCCTCCTAGAAGCCATCACCTGCCCATAGTGTCTTAGTTTATTACATTAATAAGCTAACATTTTTATTAATTTTTGTCTTATTTTGGTGTGAAGGCTTGTGAGTCCCTTCCTTTCATGCTGGAATACTAAGTAAAAGAAAACATTGTCTCTAAAGTCAAGAAGCCAGTAATAGTTAATACCTAAATAGTGTTAATGTCATTCTCACAAGTTAAAAGAGCTTTCAAATTACCACAGAGTTGCATCTTCCCAAAGCTCTTTTTTATTTGGCAAAACTGAAGATTATAGAAGTCCTACGGACTTTTCATGCTCATGAACCTAGCATATGGTAGAAATGCAAAGTCAGATCCAGGACTCCTTTGCATTGGCTTCAGTAGCGCTTATACTAAAATAAAGTCTGGGTCAGGATCAGAGACTAGTTAAATCTATATTTTTTACTTCATTTCAGGAAGAAATGATTTTTCAGAAGATAACTGAGAGCTATTAACATGTCAGTTAGCTGTCACTTGGGCTCCAGTATTGCCTCCAAAGCACAAACTGAACTTCATTTCTGACCCGCTCAATGACCACTGAGCGTTCTTTATTGACTACAAGGCAAATCCATTTCCCCCGCAGGCCCTCAGGTCCTTCCACATGGAAACTAAAGTAACCCCAAGCTTCTTCCCAAAACCTTCTGCCACCACTTGGCTTCCATATAGCTCCAGCTCAGAAAATCCAGGAACAGCCAATTCCTATAATCAGGCTTCATCACACAGCTGTGCCTTCCCCATGGTGATTTCTCCTCAGGGAGTGTGCAGCCTCCATTTCAGCATTAAGATTTGATTTATCTTTTATCTTTCAAGAATCGAGACAAATGTGATGAGCTTCATTTAAAAAAAAAACTCAGTCTGTCAAAAAAATTCACCACTTTGACCTTGTCCCACAGTGTTTCATTTCTTCCCTTTATAAATCTGAGCATGCTACACCTTGGAGGACATGCCACCTAGTTTTCTGTGTCCTATTTAAGCTGCTGGAAAACGACATCAGTGCAACTGTACACCAATGCTTAGCTGTTCAGCGACTGGTAAATGGAATATATTAGCAAGAACCACCAATTCCTACTTTTCAAAAGAGTCCTTTTGCATCTCTGACATATATCAGTGTGGAAGGCTGTAAAAGTTTCATTCTCTCAGGAAATGAAAATCTCCATCAGTATTTAAAGGTTGCCTATTTTCTTCTCAATTACATTGCCAGCACAGCCAACTTGGTAAATTCTTAGCTACCCATATTCTGCTGTAGAAACTCTAGGGACCATAAAATTCTAATTCATAAATAAAATATTGGTCTGAATACAATTTTAAAATATCATTAAATATATATGTACTAGAGATTCAAGTTCCTAAGGATCTTAGTTTAACGTGTTTATTTTCCTATAACAAAACTTTGTGAACTTTACAGAAAGATGACAATTTGTCCTGTTCCTTGTCACTTCTTACTAATCTCACGATGAACAGTTGAAAACAATGGCCTTATTATTTCCATTACTACTTCATAACTGTAATTCTACTATTGTTATGAATCGTAATGTAAAATATCTGATATGCAACCTCTGTGCAAGGGTTGTTCATCGCCCAAAAGGTTCACTACTGACAGGTCGAGAACCATTTCTCTATATATTTTCTAAGGTGAGATAGTCTGTCTTTCCATTAGAGAGCCCTTGAGTCTTCTTTTAATAAGAACTACGTGTGTGCTAACTGCTGCTTGAAATGAATCAACTGCAGGACAGAGAACTTGATATTGAACTTCAGTCTTAGAGATCTAATTTCCGTGAGAAGCTTGTCCTTATTTTTTATGATATTCACTTACAGTGAAGGGCTCTGAAGCATATACCTTTTATAGGAAAATGCCAATCATTCTGCTGTCATAAAAGTTGTGTAACAGAAATCTGAAAGAGTCCCTTATAGTACAACTGTTGTTTGAAACATTGTAATTAGAGAACACACTTTTTTGAGATCACTGCTGAGAGTTTAAAAATGCAGCGGTATTTTGAGAAGTCAAATTAAAAACAGAAAATAAAACTGTATTAATATGATGAGCACTAAAAATAGAATAATTATAGTGGATATCAGATGTAAGAAAAACTAGCAAGAGGTTACCAACAAAAGTGCCTATGAGTAATAATCATCTTTCCACTTCAAATTGTTGTTTACATTGCTTGAAATATGATCCTTATAGCAGGCCTGCTGAGGGATGGATAGTCACTATCAGATCAGGATCCAGACGAAAGAATGCTTTTTTTTTTTTTTTTTTTTTTTTTTTTTTGGTTTTCGAGATAGACCAGGCTGGCCTCGAACTCACAAAGATCCCCCTGCCTCTGCCTCCTGAGCGCTGGGATTAAAGGCGTGCACCACCACCGCCCACTTTCAGGTGAAAGAATGCTAAGTATAGACTAAGAAGCCCTGGCTACCTTCTCAGAGTTGTTCTGTATTCAGATTACAAAGATATCACATGATTGAGGGTGGTGAGTTTATTTCAGACTACTATATATCTGTAAGTGGGGACTTATTCCTTGGAGATTTAAGGGTGTGAAAGTCTTATATTCCTTTTTGCTTTTCTTTGAAGACCACGCTAACATCTACACAGTTACACATTTGAGTTTACTTAGTTCAACTCAAAACCCATCAAGGATCATGCAAAGCACCTCCAACCTAGATTGCCTTTGGCAAGAATATCCAATGACCAAATGCCAATTGCCTTTGAATAAATGTTGGACCATGCACTTCATAACAGTAGAAGTGATGGGTTTATTCAGTTAACATTTTGTTCAAAATGCCCGAAACATGACCTGGATAAGCATGAGAAACAGAGTATAATGCCCAGCTTCACAAGCCCCTCCTTGGGCTGGATTAGCATTTGAAGAGGGTGGCTGATTCACTGCAAAAATGCTTTTCGGTGGAGAAGTATTCCCAGAACCTGGAGGTGTTCTTGACACATATTCCCCTACCGAAGTGATATTTCTATAAAACATCTGAATCTTCAATATTTTTGAAACAAATAACAAACATCTTAAAACTAACATTGTTCTTGATGGCTGAGAAATGACAGAGTGGAATACAGTGTCATCAGAGTTTAAGGATGACAGAATTTGAGGCGTAAACACCCACTTTTATCACTTGACCGCATATATCCAAAGGAAAAAGGATATTTTAACAGTCTACATAGACAGGCTGGTGATATTTCACATGCAACACCCTAAATAACAGAAACCAACTTCTAAGAAATAGAAAGTCCGGACTTCCTATGTATAAGCTGCACACATATTCTAGGGATCAGAACAATGTTCTCAACTTTCTAAGTCAAGTCATAGTTCCTTGAAACAGACAGAAATACGTGAGAAGTCTTCAATGCTGACATTATGTCTTGCTTCCATTCTGGCAGTGCAACACGGATTCTGGCAAGCACATCCATCTAAGGAAGTTTCCACAAAGTGAAGTGACTGTGAGTTACTACAAAGTGCATGCTTAGCTACATTCTACCCAAGTATTAGTGGCATTGGCTGCTTTGCATCCCATGCTTTAAACCAGAATGACCTGTCCTTACAACAGAATAATTATTACCGACACTTTTGAGGTCCAGTAAAAACAAGGTTTTTTTTCACATGAATTAATGAGTCTGCCAGTGTGCATTCTGTGTTTGAACCATGAGTGTTATAAGGAATACATGCTGAACCCAAAGTGCAAATGATCAGCCTTCACGGTGATGAAAATGTTTCTTGAATGAATTTGAAGGCAAAATGACCGACATGGATCATACGAAATATAAAGTCACTTGAAATCAAAGTTCTTAGAGTACAAATACAATGTGAAAAATAACTGTGGCTATGCTTTATTTTAGCAATAGCTTTAGATTCTGCTAGATGAAATGAGTAGGCTAAGAATGCAATTAGTATATTTTTATACATTTTCCTATACTTTTTGGAAACACAAAGCATTCATTATTTTAGGGGTTTGCTTCATTTTGTTTTGTTTTCCTCCATCCTTATGACTAACAACCCTATTTCCCGCTCTGCAGTGCCCTGACTAGAACTGACCTGTAAATGACCCCATTGACATAAAGTCTTTTTTTCTTGTCATCATCTCATTGGGTAAGAAGTAGGCGGGAAGAAGAGTATGGCTGCTGGTACTAATACCCTATAATTACTCTCGGCTATTTATCTTGAGTCTTCTCTGCAGCTAAGAAACCAAGCAAGACCTTCTACCAAGCAAGAGGTGACTCCTGGTAAAGGTAATGGTCCTCAACTGCCCAGCGCAGTGATGTGGAGCATTTACTTGTGATAGCACCTGACTTACTTTGGAATCACACTTTTTCCCATTAGCCCTGATTGCTAAGCTTAAATACATCTAGGTGTCATTTCAATATTAATTCCTAACTTAGACATTAGACTTTAGTGTTATGATCATAAATTTTTAACTATACTTTAAGTCTGCGTTTGATTCTGTCAAATTATACAAGGCACTGTATATATACAATATATATACAAATATAAAAGATATTCATAAGAAACTTACTATTCCTGTCGGTAAATTTCTCAGGAAATTAAAACTATAATTAATTATTGAGATTATTCCAATAATTATCTTTAAATCTTACTGATTCTTAAAACTCATAATTTTATTATAGT